TCTGCAAGAGCTGTGTGCGGTTCCTTGGCCAGGATTAGCTTCCACCGATCTGCTGGTCCTATAACACTCCAAGGAATCTCAAGAGCTACTGAAGTTGCAGAAAATCAATTTAATCGGCAAGTGAGAGCCCTGGGAGTCTAACATATATGCTGTAAGTCCATTCGAAACAGGATGGGAAAGAGAATCCTGCAGCCTGTACCCAAACCCAAACCAGAGTTTACAGATGGGAGAAGAACTGAAAAAAACAACAAATTACTACAGATTCAGGGCGTTAAAACCCTTCCTCCAGGAATGTCCAGCTCTGTGAGTTAAGCTTTACTAAATAACACTGAATTCCTGAAAAAAAAAATACTAACAAATTAAAGAAGTTAGGCCTTTCATTTTTTCCATGAAAACACTGAGACTTTAAGGCTCTGAGACTGTAATTATTGCAGACTTGGTACACCTCACTGTAACAACGTAGGAAAATACCACACAGCGATGGGAAGAAATAAAGCTGACTTTTCTTCCTTTTAAATCTCAATTAAAAAATACATTGGATGAAATTTCCCATTAGCTGGTACTATTTGTACATCCCATGTTCTTTCTTTAATTAAAAAACATGCTTATTGCAATATTGCCAGAATCGCTTTTACGGTATTTTAATTGTAATGTCTCTGCCTGATTAAAAAAAGAAAATATGAACTAGAAACTGCCTGCAAAAAGTATCACAATGCACATCCCTAACGGGTTGAGAAAATGGCACAGAAATCACCGCAACACAACCAGTTTCCAACCACACTTACTGACAAAAGATTTTAAACTGGGTTTAAAGACTGGTTGATGCCATGGACAGGAAAACAGAAGGAAAAGCTTTTTCCTTCTTTCAGCGAATTCAAGCCCAGTCTACCAATAGTGAATGAAGCACTAGTTATTTGACAATTATTTATGCAGGTGTATTAGCTAATATTTGATGATCTTTGCTAATAGCCTAGGAGAGAGTCAAGAAAAATCATAGAATCATAGAAAAATCAAAGAATGGTTTGGGTTGGAAGGGACCTCAAAGACCATCTAGTTCCAACCCCCCTGCCATGAGCAGGGACACCTTCCACTACACCAAGTTGCTCAAAGCCTCATCCAACCTGGTCTTGAACACTTCAGGGATGGGGCAGCCACAACTTCTCTGGGCAACCTCTGCCAGTGTCTTATTACCCTCAGAGGGAAGAATTTCTTTCATAGATCTAATCTAAATCTACTCTCTTTCATTTTAAAGCCATCGCCTCTTGTCCTATCACTACACACCCTTGTAAAAAGTCCCCCTCCAGCTTTTCTGTAGGCCCCCTTTAGGTACTGGAAAGCTGCAATAAGATCACCCCGGAACCGTCTCTTCTCCAGGATGAACAACCCCAACTCTCTCAGCCTGTCTTCATAGGAGAGGTGCTCCAGCCCTTGGATCATCTTCGTGGTCCTCCTCTGGACTCACTCCAGCAGCTCCATGTCCTTCTTGTGTTGGAGACTCCAGAGCTGAGTCTAAATCTAATCTAAATCAATATTTAGATTTCTCTCCTCCCTAGATCTACTCACAGGACTTATTCTAGCCACAGCCTGATCTGAGCGTGAATTACAAGCGATCCAACATACTGATGGATAAGCATTTCTCTTGAGACGTGGGTTCAAAATCAGACATGCATTGACAATATCATGAGTATCTTTGGGGCTTGACAGTTCTCTTTTTTTTTCCCTGGGATCTCATAGTTTGGAAGAGAAAAGCCCAGATTAGCTGTGGTATTTTGGAAACTGGGTGCACAGATTTTAGAGGCAGAAACCACAGATTAAGTGGGTCAGACCTTTCTCAAAACCTCAGCCTGGAGTCTGACTATGGAAGAGGGAACTGGCATGCTGGTTTCTGCTGGACTGTTAAGATGCAGCAATGCCCACAAATTATAAGGGACAGAAAGAGCTGCAACAAGTGATATCGCGGCTTTTCTAGAATAGTGTCCAAAACAATCTTCTCCCTCATACCTGCAAGCATGGCCAACTCAAAGTTGCCACTGCAAAGGCAACTGGGGATCTTCAACCCCACCAGGGTATACCAGCAATGTCACCCCAAAATTCATCTCCAAGGTACTCCTGAAAGACCAGGCAGCTTTTTGGTCTCCAGACCTCCCTAGAGAATTGTAAATTCAGACACAGGCAATAGCACATGTCTGAGGTATCAACCCATCAAACACTAAGGAGTTACTCCAGTGTAAGCTCTGCTCAAAGGAAACTTCCATCTGTCCTGCGTTATCATAAATATTTCCATACTTGTGATGCTGGGATTACAAAAATAACTGCAATCTGCTGAATTTACAGAGTTATCTACAATCTATCTGCTATCTCCTCCCCAATCAGTATTGTCTGAGCAGTTTCACAGTCTGACTATTAAACTTTCCACTGCCAATAACCACGTGTTCAAGCTCTGCTTGTTGAGGGGGAGGTAGAAGCTGCTGAGTTCTCATGGCAGTGAGCAGGACACAGCTGCTTAATCCTATTGCTCTGACCTCCAGATCTTCTGTCCAGACAGTCTGATCACTACCAGAACCACTATATGTATTTAGCCAATGTTAATACAGTCAAAGCCAGGTCGCTTTAAGGCTGTACAAGTAGCTGACATCCCTGTTATAATACTCTTTAAACAATACCTACAATGTTGAAAACAGCGTAAGGAGAGACCACAGGGGCAGTACTCAAAATCCTCATCCCTAACAAAGGGGAATTTCAAGAAATGGGCCTGTAAACATGTGTGGGTTTGCTGGATACAGCACCAGAATATGGTCAGTACAGTGTCTTTGCAGAAGGGTTGGCTCAGTAGCATTACAGCTTTTTTTCACCTGTAAAGTCTGTTACATTTTCAGCTTGTGAGTACACAGTCAGCCTGATGCTAAATTATGAAAGTCAAAGGAGCAGAACTACAATTTAATCCCATTCTCCAGCTCCAACTAAGAAAAACTCTCCAGCTAGATTAGGAATGGGATGCTTCCATCAAAGCACATATCTACACTCGCCTACAGGTTAGGGGCTTATTGTCATGCTCATCTTGCAATTGGGTAAGTTTGGCAATTATTTGACATGTTCACAGAATCATGCAGTTTCTGCTCTAAGGGGATCAACTGACTGTGAGTCATCTTAAGATGGGTATCTATAACACCCAAGATGAACAAATCTTTGGTGGTGTGTGTTTCTCCCTATCAATACGGGAGCCTGAACAACCACCCTGTGATGGACAACTTAAAAGAAAGGTAAGGTTAGGAAAGATGAATCCAACCCAATCTCAGATCGGAGTTAATCTCAGCATGTCTTGACTCCAAATCCAAGGCTAAACAGCTGGCAGCACCCATGTAAGTGGGGGCGGATGCAACAAGGAAACTTCAGCAAAGATGAAGCTCAGATAAACCATTACTGTGTAGGTTTCTCCTTCTAAAATATTTGGTCCCTATGTTTGGCACGTAGCAATGCAGAAAATAACAGCATCTAAAATATTTTAATCTGCTTTCCTAAATGAATCTACATCATAAACCAAGCTTCTTGGAAAACATTATAAAGGGGAAAAATGATTTGAATGTCAGATGAGCCAAAGTCATAAAGATACTGCTCCAGACTTCATTAAATTCAATCAGACCTCTGTTTGCTTCATGACTGCTGACTCATAGATCAAATGTGCCTTTGAGTAGGCCCAAAGTTCAAAGGGTTTCAGCTGCAATATTGTGTCCTACTTCTTCACAAAGTCAGAGGCTGAGGCCCAAAGTCGTCATCCCGATTTGCCAGTCTCAAATCTGAGGCTCTGACAGAACTCCTCTACTCTATGTCATAATCACAATGGGGTTAACAAGAATCTTGCATTACACAGAGTTATAATTTTCACTGGGGAAGAGGGGAAAGAAAATTGTACTAAAACGTTTCACATTTTTTTAATCTCAAATTCTTACTTGATTTTTTTTTTTTTTAATAACAGGAATGATGCCTGGTGCAGCAACTCTGGAGAAATCTCTAAACCTAAACAGAGCGAGTTCAATTTTTCTTTTAAATGTTCTCACAATAGGGATAAACTTCCAAAGTTTTTTCTTTCTAGAATGATCACTCAAAGTTAGATTAAAATGTAATTGTCAAATGCATGTTTTTCAATATCATCTCAATGAAAAACTAGTGCCTTTAACATCCTTTTAACATAAAATCATTTTTACCAGCGAAGATCCAAGTCCTTAAACATATAAAAACTCCTCTTTCCATTTTTTGAGCTCCATTTCAGCAGAGGCTTACACAGCGGCTTAACTTTGAGCAAGCAATTTTCCCAGAACAACTCATTCACTTGACATCAAACGTGCACAACGGTTTTCACAATCAGGGCCTAATTTTCAGGGAGTGATATTTCTGGCACTGAATTAAAAGTAATTTTAATTCTTACTTTGACAACCACAGAAATATACCTCCTGACACTTATGCTGAGTCTACGCCAGGGTACACGAACCCCGCAAACCCAGGGTTTCCCCCCATAATTTTGCTCGGTTGTTTACTCTCCACCAGCCGTGCTCTTGGGTCTTGGATTATTTATTACATTTGGTAGCTGTGGCCTGTAATTCTATAACATCATTAATTTTGTAAAGGCTTTTGCAATACGCTTGCCTCAAAGATGCCAAACAAAACAGAGTTGATTAGTGTTATCAGCACTGCCATTATCACTGAACACCACTCAGGAGAGCGGCGCTTTCGGTAGCTGGGGGAAAGAAAAAGGGAAAAAAAAATAAGCCTTCCTACTCATATTTTCATTATGCCTCAAACAGTATGAACGATTCCTTCTGCATACATAATAATTAAATGCTTCCCCCGTCCCCCATCATCATCCCATTGTATCTCCCAAGAGCAGACTCCGCCTGACCAGGTGTCTCCTTCGCTACAGAAGCTGGGAAAAGGAAAGGGAGATCACGGTCATGAAAAACTCCAGCCTTGAAGGAACAAGAGCGCTGAACCCCCCTTCTACAGACCTTTGAGATGCAGCAGGTTGAGGTTGGTAGTGGCACTCCCCAGCAGCAGAGTCTGGCCGCCTTCTATCGTGACGTTATCGCCATCTCGTGGCTGGTGGCCAGCAGGCCAGCTGGAGTCCTCGTCCCACCGGCCACAAAACTGGAGGGCAAGCTGGAAAGAAAGACCCAGAGAAGTTCAAAGCTTGTCCCTTCTCACCCTTTGGGAAGCCAGTCTGCTGAGAGCATGACGGAGGAGACGACAACATCACGCCGGCTACTTTCCAGCGGGACCTCGCGTAGAACAAAGGGATGGAGAGGCGCTGGGGTTGGAGAGGTTCTCAGCCTTCGAACACTCCTGTTGCAATTTGGGTGTTGCCCCTTGTCTCGTTCTGGTCTGGGTAACGAGGTGCTTGCTGCAGATCTGGCTGCGGAAAGTCCGCAGGTTTCCTAGTGTGTGTCTCTCTCTGCCTCCCCAAAAGCAGAACTGCACGTTAATTCCTGTCAATGTCATAAAAATAGCCTGAAGAGTTTGGAATTAAAACGTCCTGCTAGATGGGCAGTATTTAGCCTTACATGCTTTTTCAAAGGCTCTCCTGCCATTCGTCTGCATTTAGAGAGACACTCATCCTTTCAAATACTTTTTTAGCTTTCTCAGCTTATCCAGTATCAGATTTGCCACCGCTTTGGCAGCTTCCACATCAGTTCCAAATAAAGCACCGATTAACTTGAAAACAGTGAACAGAATGACTAATGATGAGCAATAGTGAAATGACCCCCGCCTGTTTCGAGCCATGGTTCTTCCTCACCTCTAAACTTTAAGAATGTGCTTTGCAGTGAAGGTTTGACCAATTTCTTGAGGAATGTGAGTATATTTTTGCATGGAGATGTGTGCACAAGTGTGGATGTAGGCATTCATAATAGCTTCTTTTGCAGTCACACATGAACTAGAAAGAACTGCTTCAACCCATCTGAGGCAGGGGGAATCAGACATGGAAATATTTGTGGTCCTCACTGGGTTATGCTAATCCAAAACAGCAGTGGAAAGAATAACCTCAATACAAAAGCAAAACATAGTTATTCCATTTTCAGTCAGAGCATGCATTAAATCATGTGCATTAAAGTTTTTGCTCTAGAGCTGCGGTTTAGGTGAATCAATACTGGTGGTGTTAGGATAGTTATTCTTTCGACTGTGCTATTGTCAGTTTGAGAGTTATGTCCCCGATGTTTTATACAACATTTCCCATAGGACCTAAAGCATTTAGATAACTATTGCATGGTGACTACTGTCCTAACTATTTACACCAGGGAATGGGTGTTGGTTCCTAGGCAAATTATTCAACTGATTTATGTCCATCCCATCTGTAGGGTATGGATGCTGG